GGGGGGGGGGGTTCGTCTTTCTTTTCAGATCGCGGGGGGGGGTTGGCTTAGATATCCCACACAGGATTAGAGCCATGCTGCTTGGAAGAGGAGGGGGGAAATAAGAGGGAATGCCCCAGAAACACAACACCGCCTGACACGTATGGAATGGATTTTTCGCAGCTCGACTAAAACCTGCCTGCCTGCCAGAATGAGAGAAGATCTGCAGAATACCATCTTCTCCATGACCAAGTGTTCACGTGTACGTTCTGCCTGTAACGTGACGCTCTTGTCTTTCATTCAAGACCTTGAAATGGTCAACAGTAGGTAACATGTAAGTTATTTCAGACCAGATGCTTTATTATTGTACTAATTTAGTCTGAATATTTATATAGTTATTGCAATAATGCAGTGATGAGTGTTTGTTAAGTGTTTATTTCCCTGTGACAGTTTGGATAAAGATGATTGTTGGTGCATTAGTCTGGCTAAAACTTTGATCCAGAGCAAGACATACAGCTTGACAACTACTGGCCAGGCAGAGGATTAATTATAATGAATTTAGTTTATCTTATCTCTCATCTAGCACCGACAGCCGATCAAAATGTGATGGTCCATCAAAACATACAGTACATATAAACAGCGATGTTGTAAAAATGAAACACTGGAATAAGCTGAAATAATTATTATTTATTATTTATTTATTAAGTGAAAGCATCATTACACAGTACAGGTGTAGATATGGCAAGATGATCTCAAGAAAGAAAACAAGGATTTACCATCAAAAATATTTAGATACACATTTGAGAAACAGAAAACAAACATGATAAATTAACACAACAACACAAGGCAAACTGTATCATAGATAAGCAACTATCTTTAGATTTGAAAATCTGTATATAATCTTTGTATTTGGTATTACTGAAGGATAAAAGTGAGGGTAAGAGGAGCACAGATAATACTTTAAAAGTGTCAAAATTACAAATGCCCATAAACAACACACAGGAAACACAGTTTCCCTGGAATGACACATCTCGTACACATTTTAAATCACACATATATCAAAAAATATCCGCACATGCAAACCACCAACACATCAAACATTGCTTTAGAAATAAAATGCTTTATTCTCATCCCATTACTTCCCATGTAAGCACTAGAGATGTTCTGATACCACATCTCATTGTCACTGAATAGAGCATGAACGGATTATAGGGTAACTCAATGCAACCTCCATTAATGTTTGTTGTTAGCTCTGTTATTTAACCAAGCAGGACTGTGCTGCCCACCAGTGACCACTGCTAATGTTTTTAACCAGATTTGTTTGTTCACAATGTAACATTATCAGGGAGAACATAGGGGGCAAGTGAGTGACATGATAACGTGGTATCGGATCGGTGCATAGACTCGTATACTCGCCGATATCCAATCCAGCATTTCTGGCAGTAGACTGAACATTTCCGCTACTTGTACCGGAACAACTCTAGAATGCACTCAATCATAATGTAGTATTATGCATGTGAGGAAACCCAGAAAAAAACAAGAAGAGACTTCCAGTTATCAACTACACGCTACGAGTAGGAGGAGCGATCCAGACGGCACTCAACACACTTTCACACAGTTTTGGTAACAGAAAGCCACCCTTCCCTTATAATTGTGTTTAAGTGAAACATTGTATCCCTTCAGCTCACTTCACCCAACGTGATTTCAAACATGAACTCCTTTGCCCTCCAAAGTTGAAAATAAATGGCTTGTGCAAGACTTTCCTGCTTTTTAGAAATACGTTTATTGATCATCTTTTCATTTGACATTGGGCCCAATTTACACTGCACACGTGCTATACACGCGGTGAAAGGTTGGAGCTATTCAATGTCGCGCAGACTGGGACATATCCCAGCATGCATTGAGCAAAAGGCAGGGAAACATTGACACTCATTTAATTTAGAGTCTGCGATCAGCCTGACATGTCTGGACTACGAGATTAAACCCAAGTGATTCTTTTAAATGATGTTATAGAAAACTCTTGAAAAGGCTTTGGGTAAGTCAGTATCTTACATTTATTGGCCACCATACACCGTTTATGTTTACGAATACACAGCGAGCAACATCTGTACTCACTCTCAAAACTCAGCTTCTTTCAGGATTTGGCGATCTGCACTCAGTAGGGCTGCAAAATGAAGCACGATCACAATTTTGGCTTCCCAAAATTAATTAAATGAACGTGATCGATGATGACGGTGACGTTTAAAATGCGTGCTCCGCTCATAGAAAACTCTGCTGCATATTAAATAAAGTGCTTCCTAAGCTTACCGCCAGACGGAGATGTTTTGGCTTCAATTTTGGGGAGCTCTTAGGCCCACCCACCCTACAGCAGCATGTGAAAAACTTTCATGAATATTGCGGCTGCAGTGGAAGAGGCTGTCAATTGCCACGACCCCCCCCTTTGAAACAGCAGACACTGGAAGTGTCGGGTTTGTAAGACGGATGTGAAGGAGAGACTGAGGTGAATGGGTGAGGGACGAGAACCCATTCTAACCTAAATGCAGCGGAAGTGTCCGTGACACAGCGGTCGGGCGGGTGTGTGGTTACCATACAGACTGGGCCTCATCGCTTCTCAGCCGCCTCTGCAGGGAGAGAGCTACTTCATTCATGGGCTGGACGGCCAGAAGACCTGCGGTAACTTGAGCATCGATGCTCCTTCTTTTCTCGCTCACAGACCCAAGCTCACCTCAGACTTGTCTCGTCTTTCTGCCGGGGCGTCTTGACTGAGCAGCAGCTCCAATGTGCTCTGCGTTATCCCCCGACACACCGCATTTATGATTTCAGCTCGGGGGTTATCCGAGGGTTATTTCACTGCTATTAAGAGGCAAGTGGAAAGAGAGTGATCTGAGTGACGGGAAGAAGCGGGGAAAGATTTGTGTTACTCACACACACACACACACACTCATGTTCCTGGCAAAGAACACTCTTGCGGGCAAACACAGTTTGCTTAGATAAAGAAAAGAAGCATCTTTGAGCTCGTCATCATCATGAAAATCTAAATAAAATGTACATCCAGCCAGCTTGGCCACTGCATGATTAGGGTTCATTGTTTGCCATTGCTTTGGCTTTATAGGAGTAGATTGAATGATTTTCACCCTAGCTGAATTCTCCCAGGCACAAAAAGATTTTTTTTATTATTTTTTAATACTCAAATAATTACCAATAAGTCCCATGCATGGCGCAAGCAAGGGGAAGCTTTTTCATCCTAAAATCTTAAACCTAATCAGATAAACACTTCAATTGTAATATAGATTTAGTGCAAATTGTGCATTCAGTTGGTAATTTTGGCAGCTGTTTTTTTTTTTCTTTCAGGAGGACTATTTGTACCATGTCTAGATTTGCATGATATTTTTCATAATTGAGATGTAAACTGCAGTCTTACCTCAAGCAACACAGAAATGTGCCACTCAAAAGATACACGCTTTGTGAATGTGGAACTCCTATGTGCAAATACACTACTGTATTTATTCAGTGTGGTGGACAGCGATCATCTCTAGATTCAAAGCTGAACAAATTCACCTTCTCATTCAATCTACAAAAGGCTGAAGTCAAAGTAAGTGTTCGTCTGACCGATTCATCCAAAAGCAGACTCAAAGATCGGAGGAGCTGCAGTGACTTTTGACTTTGGGCACGACGAGAATCTCATCCCCATCTCGGATGCTGTAGGAATGCAGGGCCCGGCTGCCCCACTTCAACTCCTCTGGTCCCAAGACCGAACACATCTCCCGGTTGATGTAGAAGAGCCTGATCCCACTGGTGGGCAGCTGCAGCAGAGCTCGGAGTTGTTTCTTCAGGTCGCCTACCGTCTGCTCCAGGCGGAGGCTGACGGCCTCCACCCTGTCACCCAGGCGAACATCCACCATGGTGCAGCGGGGGCTCAGGTCCACCTCCGCCAGTGGGGCCAACTGACCATACTTTGATACAAGGCTGTGGTACCTGGAAGGAAGCATGTCAGATCACTGACGGGTTTTTGCTTTTTTTTTTTGTCGTTGTAAAGACTACTGAATAGAACTAGAAAAAGTAACCTGTATCATATGATCATGTTGGTCTTTAAACACTCTTATTAAGAGGTCAATATCTGTTCATTTGAGTGAAGACTATTTCCATTAAAACTAAAAGGAATAAATCAACATTTTGGGAAATACACTTATCCTCTTTCTCTCCATGAGTATAAGCACAAAGCATGAGGACTGGAAGCAGGAGGAAACACCTCTCCTGGCTTTCTCCAAAGTCCCAAAAGTCAAATAATAAATCTACCACCGCCGCTAAAACAAATAGATTGACCCGCTGCATTTGTGGTTTTAGGGCTCTAGACTATTTTCTTCCACGTTTACCCTGTGTTGTGTTTAATCAGCCGCTATGGTTGTGCAGAGGAGGGCGATATACGACAAGCGGCCCTGTCTGGACTCAAGCCAGGGACGTTGCAATTATGCACTCTCTTATTCTTTGTTCCAACTCCTCCAGCTCAGCCCAAAAATGTTTTGTGCTATATTTCATATCTCTCCTTGAATTTCGGGCATTTCCACTTAAAAACGAGCATAAAAACAGGTAAATCGAAGCTTCCCTTGTGTGTGTGTGTGTTTAGAGGCAGAGAAACACTGAGTTCTCTGCCTCTTGCTTGCCGTGAGAAAGCTCTCAGCCACCTCAGGGGAATGCGTTTTTGAGATAAGGACCCAGGAACGATTAAATAAAATCCAGGAGAAAAGGCCTGTGCTTTCAAAGCTACTGTAACAGCTGGGCCAATCAAAGCAATTTCCCTCTCCTCCCTAAAAACTCCCCTACAAAGCCGATCCCCTGGCCATGGGGTTTCTGGCCAAAACCTGTGGTCCACCCTGGGAATTCTCCTCTAAGGCCACAGTGCACAAAGTGCCATTCTAAGAGAAGCCATTTAGCTAAACAGGCTTTCATTTAAAGGTAGTTAGCATGGTATAATGGAGCAAATAACGCTGCAGGTGATAACAAGGCATTCCAGTTGTCTTTTCAAGCATTCTTCGATAATGGACAGTAAAGTAGCCGACGACAGGTTATGGAGCCGATACTGACCCTATCTAGAGCAGATCTCTTTTGCCGTTTCATCCTCTCACACTCCAGTCCTCTGGCTGAAAGATAACCTGCTTAAAAAGTTAAAATGTCGATTGCTTCTCTTCCCTCCCAGGCTGGCCCTCAATATCCACTGTTCCAGGTCCAGCGTTCCTTTCAGTCCCTCTCTACTTATTCTACTGGATACTCTGACTCAGATTTCGTTTTCAACCCAGTCCTCTCTTTCACTTATTCCTTGCAGCTAATCCTTCCTGTCCAGCCAACACATTTGTTTCTTTATATTTGTTTTTCCCCACAACTCCCTTTCCTTACCTTTACCCAGATTATTCACAATTCTCTGCACATCCTTTAGAGAGTATTGAGGTGTATCAGTCTCTACCTGTCTGATTTATGGTTTGAGCTGCGTTTATAGTTACTCAAAGCCAGGCTGTGTCGGATTTGTTCACTTTAGAGGCTGTGACCCACCCTGCAGGGCTCTGATCTCTCTGGGTAGCAAGGCCACAGCTCCAATCCGGAAGGTAAGGGGATATCGGTGTGTTCACTGCTTACCGAGTGTGTCCGACACCCCCGTAGCACCCACATGCAGTCACGGTGATCCCTAACCTCGGACCTACACCGAGAACCTGGCTCCAAAACAAGACCACCAATACGTAGCAGTCACTAACAGGAAGCGGTGGCGAACGGGACATGATGCTATGTGTGACATACAATATGTGCAGCATCATTACCAAAAATACGTCTTGGATCTTCACAAAGGCCAAAGAGCACTTGTCTTTGCCATAAGAAAAAGTGCTTCATAGCGAGGAGCTCCATTCCAGCTCCAGTGACATCAGAAAACAAATCAATCTCTCAACTTAAGGTTTGATTTTGACAGAGTAGGTGTATACATGAAAAAAACAAAACTGCTACCTTGTGTATCACTTTTCCAATCAGAGAATTCCCTCCACAAAGGACTCATTGAGCAGGGAGAGACTGGTGGCATTGTCTCCCAAAGGTTAGTTTCCCCCAGTCAGAGACTACACCTTCCTCCACAAATCCCTCTCCAACATTCTGCTGAGGTTAAGTGGAATGCAGTCGGTGAAGAGCACTGGCAATTGTTTGACCGCTGTCAGCCCCCCCCCCCCCTTCAAGGAGGGCTTTACAAATATTATATCACATACTGTTAATATATTGAGGACAAGGAGTGGGTTGTTGCTATTGTTACAACTTCACAGGTGTTCACAGTGAACTTGGAAGCACTTGGTGCTACATATTCAGGCTCCTGAATGATAAGAGCTATGAAAACAACGACTATCATTGTGATAAATACCTGGTAGATACAAATACACACAAAGCTCCACCTCGCAGGGTCAATACATGCAGAAGGATTGATTCTAGTTCTGTTGAAAACATCCAAAAGAAGGACAAAATGGTAATAATTACACTTTTTTTAATCTTGCTTTTAAGTAGTCTGTGTCCTTTTATCCAATCTTACTGCAAGTTTATTTAATTAAATTTCATATTTTAAATTGTACTCCCATTATTCCACCTAGTATTACTATTAATAGTTTAATACCATCCATGTCGTACTTGGAGGCCTGTTACTAGGTCACAATGTGTGTGCCTAGTTTGATATTCCAATAATAATACAAAGTATTACTTGGGGCATCACTGACCAGCTTCTTTAATCTGTAACATACTATGTTAGTTTCAAATAGTTCAATAAAGGCCCATTTCTGTCAGTTAAGTGCATACACTGATTGTTATTTTAAATATGTTTTGTATTTGAATCTGACCTTGTATGCCAGGGAGGATGAAATGCAAGTATTCTATATCACTATATCACACACCTTAATATTGCATTGAAGCACGAGTAACTAACTGGTGATGGAGATGGAAGAAGTAACATTCAAGAGTGTAGAACTCATGAAAAACACATCACCAATCACTAAAAAAATCAAAATCAGGAGTACGGTGATAAACGTGTGTGTGTGTGTATAGTACAAGCATACTGAACGTCTGAGTACCTCTCAGGACGTTCCTGTTCTGGGTAGTCCTGGTAGTAACGGATGAAAAGCCTCTCAGCATCCTCTCTCTCTCCCTTTGACACTGAACTCCCGTTCAGCAGCACGACAGATGGCAGCCTGCAGGCAGGGACGTTTGTAAGTATGAAGATTAGATAGGAAACAAGAAAACATGTGATCCTGCATGGAGAGTAATAAGGGTTTGATGTGTGTGTGTGCAAGTTCAGACTCACTGTGCTAAAAGGAGGCTACGTCTTTCGTGGGTGGCGTAAGGCTGCAATAAAGGAATCCCCTTTGCTTTGACCTCCTCCAGCTTGGGGAAGTAATTCAGCCTCTCAATGTCCTCCCATTTGCTAAGCCCTGAATAACGCAACATCACAGAGTTTTAGGGCCACAGAAAATATAAAAAATTCCCACCATGCACTGAATACTGAACAATGTATGGATGAAATGTGCACAGCCTTCCCCCGTCCCTCTCAGACCCGAGTTGTTGAGGTTGATGCTGCGCAGGTTGGGAAAGAGCCGCTGCAGTGTGTCGGGATTGTCCCCCACAGAGTCCACACTGTTATTGGCCAGAACCAGTGTTCTCAGACTCGGGTACATCTGCCCAAACTTGCGCACTTCGGCCCATTCCTGCAGCTGGTTGTCTGTGATCTGCAGCAGGCGTAGAGACGGACAGGACGTCTGGGATTCGGACACAGTGTTGTAGCCATTCAGGCACAGGAAAAGCTCCTCCAGCCTGCACGATGACATCAGTAGGTTAAAGTTGAGAAATACAAACATTTTTGACCAATTTTTGACGACATAGAAATCGACACTCTCACGGCTGATGATCTGATGTAGATGCGTGGTAATTAAGCTGAGACTTCCATAACCAGTTCAAAGTTCCTCACAGTAACTTTAAACAGCAGTACATCTTCAGCTGCGGGTTGATACACATTTGGCGCTCAGGTGAGTATTTACAGCAGCAGAGGTGAACGTGTGTAGCTTTCAGCTATATTACTGTCTTTGACATGATCACCGTGGTGGAATAGACACAATAAAGACAAATATCTGTTGTGTATACTGGTCTTAATACTTCACTGTACAGTCATTCTATTACCAACCACAGTCGATCACTTACTCTGGCGTATGTTGTGTGAGTGTGTGCACGGTGTCCCAGCTGATTTTTGTGTTGATGAGGACAAGTTGTCGGACCCTGGGGAACACCTCGGCGATGCTGGGCTCCAGCTCTACGCCGCTCAGAGGGTTCATGCTCAGATTGAGGAAGTCCAGGTGGGGGATGTTGGAAACGATGTCGCAGATCTGGAAACCCACAAGCATTAACAGAAATAAAAATAAATAAAAAATGAAGCAATAAAAGAAACCTTGTGTGTGTCTCCCTGTAGGCTTTCTAAGTCTTTGAAGGACACCTACCTCTGTCCAGTCGTTAAGCTGATTGTGGGACAGGTCCAGCTCTACCACATGGGCACAGAAAACTGCAATGTCGGACCTGTCTCCAGCTTTACGGATTCCAGAGTCACTCAGAACCAGTCTGCTCGGCAAGAACAGGCGATCTGCAAACAGACGATACAAAAATGTAAAGATGTAGGCGACGTCAGTGCTCACTTAGCACAAGTCCCGGTGATCGTAATCATGACGTAAAACCCGGCATCATTCATCTCTCACCTTTCACAGGGGATCCTTGCGGGCTGGGCATCACCACCACTCCTTGGCCGTAGGGGAAATTCTCCGGGCTGTATTTCTCACTGAGGACTTGGACGAAGGTGCGCACCTCCTCCTCATCAGAGGACGACTCCATGGTCCCAGCCCTGAGCAGGTATCAGAGGGGAAGACAAAGAAAGAGAGGGTGCAAACAAACACAGTCAGTTCATTTCAGCAGGCTCTAATTTCCATTTCTCTACCATGATGGCGACCTGGATGGCTTTTTCCAATATTCACGATTATCCAGATAATGGAAAGTCAGCACGATCAACTCATTGGTACCTATTTTCATCCCGATCGGCCATATAATCCGGCCATAGGTTAAAGCAGGAGCAACAACATTAGTTTTTAAAAAAGGAAAACAAGGTAAACATGCACAGGAACGAGCAGTCAGGCCGCTATACAGAACGTTTAGCTGAAGCTAATATGCAGCCCCCTGCCTGGGTGGGCTGTTGAAATAAAAATGCAATGACTATTAATAGCCTATATGTACTGTACAGGTATTGACATGGCTGTAAACTGGATTCGCACCATCTCACTTGGTCTCGTTGGCAGATACTTTTCTTCTGAGTATGTGTTGCATAAAAAGGTCTAAAAATAACCCATCAACGCAGTAGAATGACCGACACAGAAGCAGAAACGTGAGAGGTGACGCAGCACTGACAGGAACAGGTGCACAGTTGACACCGATGCACTCCTGAGTGCAGCTCCACCACCTGTTCCTGCTGAAAGTCATGTTAGTGTGGTGCTGAAACAATTAGCTGACTAACCGATCAGCGGATTAACAGAAAGTTGTTAAGATCTCGTTGATAATGTTTAAAGCAAAATGGCCTAAAAGTAGCTTTTCACATTGATGCATGCTGCATTCATCTATTAGTACACAAAGACACTATTTATATTTGGTATGATTTTGTGATGACATCATTCATAACAGAGGATATTACCGTGAGTTTGTGCGTCCACACACACACACACACACACACACACACAGCACCCAGGTCTGACCCTACTCCCTTCAACCCCGATCAGCCCTATCGGTTTCAGACAAACGGGGTCTGATCATCTTAAAAACTCAGCCCGCCTGAGGAGGTGTGTTTGCAAAATGGCTGAGCGTTACGTCCGGACTGCGTCTGATGTTTCTGTCATAGATAGTTTCTTGTTTCACAGATTCCCTGATTCATACCTCTGATGTCGCAGAGACCAAAGGGAAGCCTGTTTTCCAACTTCACATCAGATCACATGCTCCCCTGCTGCTTAGAGAAAATGTTGATGAGACCTTTGATGAAATGAGAAGGCAAACAACAACAACAAACAAAAAAATGAGCTATAAGAGGGGTTGGGAACCAGAAAAAGCTAATTTATTCATGCAAATATTAAGAGTCTTCTACAGCTGCATAATGGAAGAAAAACGACGCAGGAAGACGTCAAAATAAACGAAACTTGCATTATGCGGATTATAACTTTAGAGTGCCAGCTGGGTTCCTAGCAGGGCCAAACAGGTTTTATGAACACATGCCAGACTAGGTTGATATTCTCCATTATTAAAAGAAAAACATCTATTTATAACCTCTCCACATAATGTTACATTTCAAAGGTCACCAGTTACACTTCCTGGGTATTTAACATAGAAACTGTTGTTTAAAAGTTCATCAAGTCAGCATACCTAACAAGCAGCAAGGTATTTTTCCTAATAACAGTTCAACTTTTAAACTACTCGCTACTGCCCTCCGCGTGTAGTTTAGTGGCAACACTGCAAAAAAAAATGTTAAGATTCACAGTTTTACATAAAGTAACAAATTGCTTTTTATTGACAAACTGATGCCGAATTAAATGGTGACCTATAACGATAAAAAAATTTTTTTTTAAATATTATTGTACCTTCAATATACACTAACTAGCAAGCAAGGACAGTTTAAACTAACAGGTTGTTCAACCTGGTTTGGGTAAACATTCTTCAACACGGTAACGTTACGTTTGGGGGCGTTTACGACCGAGGCCATGGTTGCACAATGTAGCTGGTGCACAAAACGAATGTACAAAATAACGAATTTAAACGTTGACGTTTTAGAAGAAGCGGATGTGAAATGTATCCATTGCACAGACACATGCTCACGACAGTGCGTCACAGTCAACCTCGAAAAGGTGCGCAATGTAGCAGCAGTGTCGCTACCTTCACCAAGGAACTGCAATTTAGGGTCATTATCAACGTTACATGTAACTCTCCACGTTGTATTTTGTAACTGATGCGGTTTTTTTCGAGAGCACTACACTCACCGTCCTCGGAAGCCCCTCGGTGTTCTGTTTGTTGTTGTTATTCTTCGGTTAGTTGACAGTTTAAGACACGCCCACTTTTCAGGAAGTGACGTTGTTTAAATGTCTTGTTTTTTCCCCCGTTTGCCTCACTGTACATTATTATTTTCAAAGACTACACACAGATTATAATTCAAGCATTAAAGACAACATTTAATGCAGTGAAACTATAGTTTACATACTGTACATATTCATTCAAATGTAGACGTCCTGTTGCTTGGTCCTTTTTAGAGTGTTAACTTAAAAGAGAAAAAGCTGAATAAGAAAAGTAGCTGTTAAAATGTAACCAAATACAGAGAGATATCTGTTGTCTGAGTTCGACATGTATTTATCCATTTTACTTCATTTATAATGATTCGCAGCTGAACATTTTGACGGAGGCTTTAATGGAATGGAATAGATCTACTACAGGCTGCCACCAGATGGCAGCGTTGTGTGGGGCGAAAAGGATCCTCCTGTTTTCCTACTACAGGAGGGAGAAACAAAGTAGCAGACCACCGTGTATGTGAAGAGCCATCCACCAAAAAAGCAGTGGTGGAAGAAGTACAAAGATCCATCACTTAAGTAAAAGTACCAGTAGAAATAAAAATATATAAAAAACCTAATTAAATGTAAAAGTCCTGCAATTAAGCAAATTTAATCATCAGCTAAATGTACTTTAGCCACCAGTGTGGCCGTTGGGAGCGGTGCTGTATCAGTGATTCTTAACCATGGGGCCCACGATGGGGCCGCGAACGCCACCTTGTGGGCCGCAAAAAAAATTCAATTTTGCACCTGTTGGCCGCGAGGGCCGCGGGACCGCATAGGTTATCAATTGAAGACACCAGAGATATTACTGTTCTCCATGAGACGCTCAGTTACAATATAGTTTCCCACCACCTGGTGGCGGTAATGCGTGAGTCAGTTGTTTAACAAGCTACAATAAGCAGAAGAAGACACTCAGCTAGCCCAGGCATGGGCAAACTACGGCCGTTGGGCTTTTTAATCCGGCCCGTCAGATATTGGTACAAAATTGTCCAAACTATAATAAAGACTAGAGCTGGGCAGTATACCGGTTTCAACTTCCCGTATGATATGAATTCTTCACACACCATTATACCAGTGCATAGCCAAAACAACTGCTGTCTGCTTTCAACAGGCAGCTAAATGTATTCTTTGCTGCTAATGCACAGCGGTCAGCGCAGCAGTGTTAAATCATTGAATGAGTCATAAACAGTACACGATTTAACCACTAGAGGGCAGCAGTGTTAAATCATTGAATGAGTCATAAACATTACACGATTTAACCACTAGAGGGCAGCAGTGTTAAATCATTGAATGAGTCATAAACATTACACGATTTAACCACTAGAGGGCAGCAGTGTTAAATCATTTAATGAGTCATAAACAGTACATGATTTAACCACTAGAGGGCAGCAGTGTTAAATCATTTAATGAGTCATAAACATTACATGATTTAACCACTAGAGGGCAGCAGTG